GGCAGCCAGCGTGTCCTGGGGAAGGGAAGGTGGGACAAGATGGCAGCTCAGCCTTTCAGTACCCACACTGCACCCTCCAGGGGAGCCAGGGCCCTCAGGGCTCAGTGCCTTCCTAGGGGCTGAACTCTCTCCATCGGTCTGTCTCTGTCACACGGACATACGCTCCTGTTTCCAGACTCAAAACCCCCTCAGTACCTCCAAACATCAATAGGCTAAAAGCATGTAGGGGGGACGCCAGCCCCAGAGAAGTTGCTTCCTCATGGGGGCCAGAAGGTCACACAGTCAGCATTTCTCCCCAGATCAGGAAGAGGGGCAAGGGGCAGGGGCCACCCGGTTTGGGCCCTGCTGGGAATGTGGCTTGGCCCCACTGTGGAGGGGCATCTCGTGTGAGAGCTAGGTCCCGCAGTCGGCAAGTCAAGCAGACATGACATTTATCAAAAATATTCGTGGGGCGCCTGGGTGGCTCAGTCGGTTAAGCGTCCGACTTCAGCTCAAGTCATGATCCACGGTTTGTGAGTTCAAGCATCGGGCTCTGTGCTGACAGCTCAGAGCCTGGAGCCTGCTTCGGATTCTGTGTCTCCTTCTCCCTCTGCCCCTCCTCCACTTGTGCTCTCTCTCTGTCTCTCAAAAATAAACAAGTGTAAAAAAAATTTTGTGTTCGCCTCGGGCTGAGCCCTGGTTAAAGTAGTTGGCTTATAATTGGGGGCCATGGTAAAAGACAAAAACAAAAACAAAACAAAAAAACAGAAGCAGAGCTTTCTATAGAATGCCCGGAGGCATAGGACCAGCCGGTCAGTTCTGGAACTGACTGGGGGCCAGGCCGCAGACTCCCAGTGCCTACCTCACTCTCCCTCCCCGTGACAGCCCTACTGGGGAAGTCTTCTCTCTGGTTCTGAAGGCTAAATCCAACCATGCTGGCCAGCATCAGACAGCAGTGAACAAACAGTACTTCAAGCAGGTCGGCTTGCCTCCAGTCAGGGTGGGGACACCAAGCTGTCCCCCCACACACACACATCTTTTACATCACAAAGACCTGGGGAGTGTTTGTCGCTAAAAACAGCTGCCTGTTGGTGAAAAATTCACCTCATAGGCTAGGAGAAATAAGAGCCCTGCAGGCAGTGCCAGGAAGAAGATTGGGGGAACTTATCTGGTGTCCATGGGACGGGGGGTCCCCCGATATCCTGGGTTACCTTCAGTAACTTCCTCTCTTCCTTAAAAATGTCCTGGGTCAGGGAGACTGCATGGAGGTTGACCTGCAGGAGGGCGCCTCCTAACAGGGTGGGGTGGGTTCCAAACACCCAGCATTCCCTGAACATGCCAGCGTTCAGAGACTTGAAGGAGAAGGTGAAGGTTTTCGTCTCTCCAGGCAGAATCACACCTGAGAGGGGCAGAGGCAGCGGTTTTCACCACCCAGGAGCTAGCAGAGCCCCAAGCCGGCTTGTATGAACTGAGCCCTAAGCCTTTGTGTCCCGGGCAGGGTGGTAACCAGAACCGAGGGGTTTTCTGGGCAGCAGGACTTTTGACTTCCTGTGCAAAAACTGGCCAAGTCCCAGGCAAACAGGGATGGGGTGGCGGTGGGTCATCCCAGGCTCAGGCCTGAACATAGAGGTAACTGAACCTCTAGACAGTTTCTGCTCCCTGGTGAGTGCGTCTCTCTGCGTTCCGACTGTTCCCTGGCAGACTGAGAACAGTTAGGAGAGGACTCGATTTGCAGAAGAAATGGAAAGGGGGCGGGGGGAGAAGGAGAGGGGCTCAAAACTCACAGGAACCTGAGCTAAACTCTGGTTCCTTGCAGGCCATGGATGGATGGGAGCCTCAAGAGGAGGGCGGCGAGGTACCTTCTCGGTTGTTAAAGTAAAAGCGCTGCATCCTGTTCCTCTTCAGGTCTTGGAAGGAGTCCAGCTGCGAGCGCCTCCTCCAGTCGTAGCGAATGGCCGCGGTGCCATTGTTGACCACAGTCAGTTCCGAAGAGGTCTTCTCCCTTTCTAGAGTTTCGAAGGTCAAGCGGACAGCAATTCCAACATGCCTCTGGGGAAGGAGACGTGTGAGAAATGGCTTTGAGGGAGGTTCTGGCCGAGGGCGACCGATTCATCCTTGTTGGCCCAGGGACGTGTTTGGGTTTGGCCCTCCAGGGTCCAGCTGCTCTCAGGGTGTGGTCACCGCACCCCGATCGCGGCTGTCTCTGAGGCCGCCATCCACGGCACGCCGGGGGGAGAAAAAACAGATTTTGTCTCTGAGGAGGAGCAATCCTGCTCCTCTAGAACCTTCTCAAAGACATACCTGTTCTAGAAGTTTCGCTTATTTACATGCTTGGGGGGCTAGGTACAAGCTGGGTGGCTTGTGACAGTCTCTTTTTTTACAGTCTTGTGATTTCCCTCTGGCTTAAGTTAGTGTTGCTGTTACCATTTTCAGACGTGCTGAATGCACGACCAGATAAAAAATGCAAAGAGGTGATTTGCCCGGGTCCTTGTGACTGCGCCTGAGGGAAGCCCTTCCATCAGGGAGGTGAGGGCGAAGGCAGTTTTACCTTGTCCCCTGGGTTACTGCCTCTGATCCAGCAAGCCGGCTTCCCACAGAACAGCAGGGAAGGGCCAAGAACAGGCATGGGGGCCATGTCAGGGTAATTGGCCAGTAAGTCTCTGTAAGAAAAGCCAAGGACTTAGTTTCCCCGAGGCTACCGCGGTCTTGCCATGCGCAGCCCACGGAAACGGCTGCCAGGCCTGAAGAGGTGCCCGGCTCTGCCCTCTGATGGCTCCCCTTGGGCTCAGCTTTATCCTGCTATCTTCCTGCAGGTGGGCGCTTCCTGGACGCTGAGACTCTTTGCGCATCGCCTCCCGATGTGCGCGGCGTTTCCCAGCAAAGGAATGGCTGGGAAATCCCCATTAGGGGCTGGTTGCTGGAAGGGACCAGATGGTCACAGAAGAGCTGGCGCAGGTGTTGGAAAGGGGCCCACTGAGAGGCCGGGCTGGAGGCCTCAGCCAGATTTCAGGGCGGGGAGTCTGCCCTTTTCTACTGTGGGTGCCGGGGGAGGCCACTCTTCCCCCAACCTCTCCCCCTAGGGCGCAGCCCGACTCACGAGAACACCGTGTCTTCAGAGGAACTTTCCTGGCTCCTGTTAAACACTGAATAGTCCTCCACAGTGACAGTTGTGAAAGGCTGTCCTTCGCCCACCACCTCCAGGCCATCGATATCCTCAGAGAGACCGAGAAAGGGAAGGTTAGCTGGCTGGAGACAGGCCTACCGGGAATGGGCTTCCAGACACAGAGGGGTGCTGACCTGCTGGCTGAAATCCAGCTCGGCCATGAGGCGCTGCAGCTCCTTGCGTCGGTAGATCAGGAACAGACTCCGGTCCCAGGTATAGCGGTACCAAGCATCCTTCTGGGCCGGCAGGCCTAGAGCATCAGGGTCCAGGGACCCTCAGCACAGACTGCTGTGATGGCATCTTCCCCACCCACCATCAGGGCCCTGAGAACACCCATCCCGGCACCATTGCTGGGAAAGGGGAAACTCCAGCCTCCCTGGGCTGCTGGGGTTTGGTCCTCCTGCCCCGTACCTATGGCGTCTCCAGCCCTCCTCAAGATGCCCACAAAACCAGCTGGCAAACCCATAAACCTTAGGATTATAATAACAATAGCAGCTGCATTTGACTGTCTTAACAGGCCCAAGCCTCTCAAATACATGTCCTGTGTCATTTAACAGTCTCGTGTCCGGCAGTACTTTATAGATGGGGAAACGGAAGGACCAGAGAGGTTAAGTAACTCACTGGAGCTCACAAACCCAACACAGCAGGGGTCTGGACCCAGGCAGCCCAGTGGCCTTTACAGCAGCTCAGCCACACAGAAATACCACGCAAACCACACATGCAAACCACCGGTGTAACCTCAAAGCTTCTAGATGCCACACCGAAAAAGGTAAAAATGGGTGAAACTAACTTTAGTAACCTCGTTTCACCCAACAGATCAAAAATAGTATCATTTCGATACATAATCAATATAACCATGATTAGTAACGTAAAGCTAACGTTTTGTATTTTATAGGGGTAGTGACCTTTGAAGCCCAGTGACACTTGCAGCGCACTTGAGTTCACGCAAGCCATGTCCCAGGTGCTCAATGGCCCCAACGGCCATGGGGGCCGCGTAGACAGAGCAGCCCTACAGCCCACGCTCCAGCTCGCCTCCCCATCACTGCAGGGGGACTGGACCTCCGTCCCAGGCCGTTCTCACTGCACAGCCACGCTGTCCCCCCGCCCCGGCCCGCCTCATGCTGATGGCTTCCGCCCCTCCCCCCACCTGTCTCCGCCTGGATGCAGCGGGGCTTCCTGACGCGCGTGATGGGCTCCAGGAGGCCACGCTGAGCTTTCGTCTTTGTCATGACCAGACCCGTCATTTCGTCTCCCAGGTATTCCAGCCGACTCCAGAACCCGCTGGTCTCCTCATAGCTCTGGCAAGGAAGGATGCATGAGTCAGGTCACCTGGACACTTTGGGGAGAGGCTGGTGGAGGTGGGGGGGGCCCGAGGGGGGACAAGAGTGTCGCAGGCCGCAGATGCTCCCCCTGGGGGACTTGTTGCTGCCCTGAGAGCAGGGAGGAAGTGCCTGTTTTGTTCTCAGGGCACCCCGCTGCAGCCCCAGACAGACGGTGCGGGCCGACACAGGCCCCCGCACTGACGAACCAGAATATGATGCGTGGCCTGGGTCATCTGAAAGTGCGAGCCTCGGTTTTTAGGAGGCAAAGCTGAGACTGTTCTAGGAACTCAGTACCTGTGATATCTTTCTCCTCAAGCTGACTACCACTGACCACCACAGGCTGAGCAACTTAGCTCGCCAGGCCCTGAATGCCAACAACAGGACCCATAATGGGATGTAGGAAAGGTCTTGAGGGCTTGATGATGCCTTTCGAACAAGCGGATTTTTTGTGTGTGCCCCCGACTTGTGCAGCCAGAGGCAGCCATCCCCGTGTGCAGACCGCATCATCCCAGAGCCTCTGGAGACTCTGTCCTCACCTTCCCGTCGTGCTGCGTCAGAAGTGCTCGGTCAATGAGCTCCCGTTCCTCCTGGATCTGCCTGTAGGTCTCCCCCGTGTGCATGAGGAGTTCGCCCACAGGCTTCTGCAGGCGTTCTAGATGGAGCGAGCCAAGAATGCAGCCCTCCATCGAGTCAGGGCAAAAGGCCTTCCCCCTCACCCCGGGCCAGGCCCCGTCGCTGGGCTGATTTCAGGCCCCGCTGACTGCAGGAAGCCCCCGGGAGTGGACAGCACCCACGTGGCCAGCCTGAACCCGGGCTCTGGCCAGGGGGAGGGACAGAAGGATGAGGGAGGCAGGCGCACTGGGAGTCCCGGCCACTTGGCTCACCACTCAGGGCTTCCTGCTGCTTCTTCCGCAAGGCTAGGTGGCGCTTCCAGTTTCGGAGAAAGTTGTGCTGAGGGGGTGGGGCCCAGGGATGCGGCTTCTCCTTCTCCTCTTGTGGGGCTTTCTGCTTTGGCTCTTCTTTCGCTGAGATGAGGGTCACCAGACAGGGCGGGGTGTGTATCAGCTTAGCCAGCTAAAAAGGACACCGAGGGGGGCACCTGAGTGGCTCAGTTGGGCAAGCGTCCAACTCTTTGCTTTCAGCTCAGGTCATAATCTCACGCTCGGTTGTGAGATCGAGCCCCGCGTTGGGCTCGCGCTGGGTGTGGAGCCTGCTTTAGACTCTCTCTTGTCATTTGCAGCGATGTGGATGGAGCTAGAGTGTGTAATGCTGGGAGAAATGAGTCAGTCAGAGAAAGACAAATACCACAGGATTTCGCTCACATGTGCAGTTCAGGAAACAAAACGGATGAACATATGGGAGGGGAGAGAAAAAAAAAAAGAGAAAGAGAGGGAAAAGAACCATGAGAGACTCTGCCAGACAGAGAACAAACTGAGGACTGATGGAGGGAGGTGGGGGGATGGGCTAGATGGGGGATGGGTACTAAGGAGGGCACCAGTTAGGATGAGCAACAGGTGTTGCATGTAAGTGATGAATCACCAAATTCTACTCCTGAAACCAATGATGTACTATATGTTAGCTACCTAGAATTTAAATAGAGTTTTTTTGGGGGAAAAAAAGAGTCTCCCTCTCCCTCTGCCCTTTACCCCTCCTCCTCGAAATAAACAAATATATAAACAAACAAATAAGTCAGTAAGTAAAAAGTATGCAGAGAGCATGTGGAAGGTGGCGAGGAGGCGCTGAGCTGGGGCTAAGCGGAGACATCTTCCACCCCAACCTCCTGCCCTCCCCCCACTCTGCTCAGAGTCCCTCCTCTCCTGGACCCCAAGGTAGTGAGGGACAGAATCAGGGGGCCTTGGAAGCCCGTGTCAGTTCCCTCGCTTCCAGAGGGGAACCTTTGCTCTGAGACTGTGATCGGCAACTCTTAGTGTATCTGTCCTTGCAAGTGATGCTGATGGGGGGGGGAGGGACACCTTCACCTGCAGGGTGACAGAGCCATTTTTATAGGACCCCAGGCCCCTTAGCACGAGACTGATCAGAGATGTTTCGCCTGGTACCAGGAGAGCAAAGGAACTGAGAGACGGCAGAGCACCATGTAATGGGAAAGTCAGACAGACAGACAGACATGTGGCCCTGGGAGCTGCTGGAAGCCTCTGTCCTCCGCCCCGTGGATGGGAGACGAGAGCAGGCCAGCCTTTGGAGAACAGAAAATGAAACCGGCGCACAGGGGAGTAGAGGGCAGCGAAGGAGTGTGAGCCCTGAGCCCTGATGCCTCTCAGGCTTCGCACTTGTTTCAGGATCCCTTGGGGCACCTCTGTATCCTTAGAGTGACTTCCTGACTTCAGCTGAACTAGCTTAAGGTGGCTTCACTATTTCAAGGGTGGGGGGGGAGAGTCGCTTTCACTTCAGATTCCGGGAACCAGAGACTGAAGTTTCTCTCTCAAGCCCCGGTCCTGCCTGACTGTGCTGGGTGGCGAAGATGGACGTGACTTTGGGGACTTCCCGCGCCCGAGCAGCTCTGTTTAAACAAACCTGGGTGTTCCCTCGAGCCACTGCGATTCTCTTAAAGTCCTGAAGAGTCCCCAAGATGTGGTGAGGCAGAATCTGGTCACAGCCATGGAAACTGTCACCCGGACCTGGGGAGAAGGGCAGGGGAAAGAGCAGCTCCTGTAAATGTTTCGGGGGGGGGGATGCGGGGGCGACTCTGCTTTCCCTCAAGGCCGTTCCTCTGCTGAATGCAGAGGCCAGCGAGGCCAGGGTCAAGGCCGGGCATACCAGAATAGTCCAGGGGCTTTGTGGCTGCATCTGGGGTCGCAGGATGTGCTACGAAGTGGCAGACCTTCTTGTGATCCTTCGGTTTGAGTTTACGGATGATAAATTTCTGGGTGACGACAGGTCTATCTTGGATCTCAATAAAGCGAGGAATGTGTTGCTAAAAACAAACAAACAAACAAAAAACCAAAAACACTAAAGAACAAAAGAGGAGAATTCCACTTGAGATCAGGAGTTGGAAAACGCCACCCATCTCCTCTGTCCTAATTCTTGGTGGAATTCCTGAAGGCTGACAAATCTGTTTCTCCAGCTCTGGCCATATGCTCTGTCGAGGAAATGCCTTTGCAACAGACTTACTACTCAGTAATCTCCTGGAGGGAAAAAAATTTACAAAACATCTAATGCCTCCAGACAGTTCAGGTGACAGGTGGTTGACTCTTCCAGGTAAAGCGTGGGGTTAGGGTTTAGTGCCTTTATCCACCTCCCTAACATGCTTCTCAAATTCATTTTCCCTCCTGTGAAATGGGGATTATGGACACTGGCCTCCTAGGGAAGCAAGTCACCTCAACATCTCATTTCCCTGGGGTTCTAGATCAATCTCAGAAGCGTTAAAACAAACAACATAGTAAATTTCTTTAGGTGCAGAAATGAGGGTGCCTGGGTGTCTCAGTGGGTTAAGTGTCCGACTCTGGATTTCGGCTCAGGGCATGATCTCATGGTTTGTGGGTTCGAGCCCCACATCGGGCTCTGCACTGACAGCTCGCTCAGAGCTTGGAGCCTGCCTCAGATTCTGTGTCTCCCTCTCTCTCTGACCCTCCCCTGCTTGCATTTGGTCGCTCTCTCTCAAAAATAAATATTAAAAAAAAAAATTTAGATGCAAAAGTGAAAAGAATTTGTGCTCAACTTCTCCATGGAATTAGACGCTCCCTCTGAGTAGGGAGGTGGTAGAGATACAGTGGACACGGTTGATGTTCTAGACCACCCAAAACCCGGGCCAGTTCCTGCGGCAAAGGGATCCCTGGACTTTATCCTTACCTTCTTCAAGTCTTCCTTCTTAATGGCTAAAGCCAGGATGTCACCCCCTTGGAGGACACTGCTAACAGACTCAGGCTCTTCCTGAACAGGGGGTGTGGCCTGTTCAGGTAACTTTGCCCGCTTCCTTTCTGAAGAGAAGCAGAAAAGTACAAGTGCTGAGATAGATGTATATTTCTAACATATGATGTATATTACAATACAGCTCTATAACATATTCTGACTTACAGTACCTCTATTAGATTTCATGGTGAGAGGCAGACCTCAGCACCTGCACAGACAGCAGAGCCTGCCAAGGTGGCTTGAGTTCTCTCCTGAAGATCCCCCCCTCTCCCCATTACCCCCAGCCTGTTACAGCGACTGAGTCTTTTGAAGTGGAGATCAGAAGATAGCTAATTCCGGGCTGTGCTACGTATAAGCTTTAAAACCTTGGCTACGTACATCACTTCCCCCTTCCTGGTCTCTTTCCTTTTTGTAAAAAGAGAAAGCTGGACTAAATCAGTGGTTCTCAAATATTAGGCAGATGTCTGCCTGACTATGTTCTGGAGAGTTTTACACATACAGCTTCTGGCTGCTGTGTGGAGCCGGGGCCGGGGGAAACCGTATTTTTTTTTTTTTTTTTAACTCTCTACGTGCTTCTGATGTTTTCTCAGCCTTCCCCCATTGCTCGCACTGGTGCCTTGTTCTAGGTGAAGGCGTCAGGGTTTTTTCTTACCTTTTTAAAAAACGTTTATTTATTTTATATTCAGAGAGAGAGAAACAGTGCTCATGTGTGAGCAGGGTAGGGGCAGAGAGAGAAGGGAAGAAGATCCCAAGCAGGCTCTACACTGTCAGTGCAGAGCCTGACGCGGGGCTCGATCCTACGAACTGTGAGATCATGACCTGAGTTGAACGCTTAACTGCCTAAGCCACCCAGGTACCTTGGCGTCAAGTTTCTTAAGACACTGTCTAAAATGCAGATGCTTTGGGGGAAGCAGAACATTCCCTCCAGAGTATGTATTTCCTATTCTTTCATTTAATAAATACTTTTAGCCAGGCATCCTCCAGCTAGGCACTGTGCTAGGTTCTGAGGATATAAGGCAGAGTCCCGGGCCTCAAAGAGCACAAGGCCGTGGGAGACAAGGCTGTCAAACAGGGTCACTGAACTGGGGTCATTATGGAAGCATCCAGGGGGACCCCAGCCCAGTGTGCAGGGCGGTTTGGGGTGGGCTTCCGGGGGAGGTGATGTTTAAACTGAAGTTAGACACGGGAAAGACACTGGGGAACAGACATTGCAAAGAGAAGAGGCCTAGAGGCAAAAGAACAGTGTGTGCATTGGGAATTCAGAGCACATTTTTTAAATAGCTGGAGTGCATCAAGGCGGGGTGGGGAGGGTGCTGGTAGGAAGTGGTGGCCAGAGAGGGGAGCGGGCGTCAGGTCAGGAAGAGCTTAGTGAGCTGTGTAAAGGACTTCGGTCTTTACCCGTGGGCCATAGCATAGCAAGGAATGGATTGGGGGGTGTGAGGGTGAGGATGGGACTGGTTAGGAGTCTACTGTGGGAATGAAGGGGCTGACAAAAGTGGCTCTTGGGACTGGGGAAAGTGGAGAGATCTGAGCCTATGTCCCTCAGGTGCCCGGCCCTGAGTACTCATGCGACAGAGCGAGTCATTCTCCAGTGAGGACGCGTTCCCTGCCTTCCTTCCACAGAGGTGGGTTCACGGGTTTCAAATGCATCTCATTTCTCTGGCTTGGGTCCTCCTGCCTGCTGCCCCCTGGGTTAGAATGAGTTGATATACACAAATTATCAATGAGAAAGCCGAAGTCCTGCCTTTATGGACGTTGAAACACAGCTTGGATTGGTCCACTGCTACTCAGAGTAATTTTTAAGGGGCAATATCACTAAACCATCAGGGCAAGTATTCTGATTGTCAAAATCAAGTGTTTTTTAAATTAAATATTTAAAAGTTATGTTTATTTATTGAGAAAGAGAGAGAGACAGAGTGTGAGTGGGGGAGAGGGACAGAAAGAGAGGGAGACACAGAATCAGAAGCAGGCTCCAGGCTCTGAGCTGGCAGCACAGAGCCCGACATGGGGCTCAAACTCACAAGTGTGAGATCATGACCTGAGCCGAAGTCGGCCGCTCAACCGACTGAGCCACCCAGGTGGCCCTAAAATCAACTGTTTTTAGGAAATGCCCCCACAGTAGCCAAAAATCCCAAATCAGAATCATTCCACTAGAACTCTAAATCCAGCCTATCACTCTGAGTCCATCTCCTCAGCAACGGGGTCAGCAGAAACCCAGGTATATCTGTCAGTTAAACCACATGATGTGTGTGTGTGTGTGTGTGCGCGCGCGTGCACACACACACACACACACACACACAGGGCTGAACAGCTTGACCCTGAGTTCTGGTCCCATCGACCACCATGTGTGGAGATGCAGCCTCAGGTTTTAATTTCTACTTCCTCTCTCCCTCCTTTACAAAGGCACCAAGGTTGCTGGTAGCCCAAGAGAGAAAAAGCAACAGCTGAAGGTCTGCTTTTATAACTATTTTGGAATTTGGGGTGTCTGGCTGGCTCAGGCGGTGGAGCATGTGACTCTTGATCTCGGGGGTCATGAGTCTGAGTCCCACATTGGGTGCAGAGGTCACTTACACAAAGACTTTAAATAAATACATATGTTGGAATTATTTATGTTTTCCAGGACATTTGCTTCCTTTGTCTGTCACCTCGGCTGGCCCTGCATCTTCCCAAGGGATCAGACATCTCCCGATGTGTGCTTTTTACTGGTGGGTATATAATTACCACGTGCAAATTTATAAGCCTTCGACTTTGCTGAAGATTTCGGAAGTAGTGAAACTCTGGTCTGGGGTCTTTCTGAGGTTATCTTGGATATAGTTCGATACGTGCTCTGTTACAGTATACCGTCAGGGAGGGGTGTGTTCTAGTTAATAAAGTACTTATTGAAATGATAGATACATTTTAAACTTCATCTCCGGGGCGCCTGGGTGGCTCAGTCGGTTAAGTGTCCGACTTTGGCTCAGGTCATGATCTCGCGGTTCGTGAGTTCAAGCCCCGCATCAGGCTCCGTGTTGACAGCTCAGAGCCTGGAACCTGCTTCAGATTCTGTGTCTCCCTCTCTCTCTACCCCTTCCCCGCTCATGCTGTCTCTCTCTGTCTCAAAAATAAACATTTAAAAAATAAATAAACATCAACTCGCCCTAGAGGATATTTACCAAGCAACTTCTTTGAGCTATAAACTACAGAGAAGATGGTGGAAAAGGTTAGAATGTGGCTCCTCTCGAGAAACTGAAAACTGCGGCTCACACACACACACCAGCGGAACATAAGGGCCTAAGTCAAGTGGCAGCACAGACAATGTGTTCGGTTACTCATCAAAGAGGGAACAGATGGACGTGGCTCATGTGGTTTAGGGCTGTAAAGAACGGTTCAGGAGAGCGGCTGCAGGGGTCAGAGGCAGCTTCCCAGACTACATTAGGCCTTGAAGGAGAGGAAGCCTTTGCCCCAGCAGAGCAGCAAACAGGGGTGCTCCCGGTGAAGTCACAGAACGGAGGTGGGAGCGGGTCGGAGCAGGGAGTGGTGACACAGAAGGCTTGAAGGGGGCGGTGATGTTGGGGATGAGGGAAAACCCGGGGCGTGATGGCTTTGTAAAATTCAGGCTGAAGCATCTGTCTTCCTGCTGGCAGGAAGGAGGTTTGGTCCAGGAGGGTGAGTTGGTGAAAGCCGCATTTCAGAGCGATATATCCAGTGAGGGTAAGCCAGGTGAATGGGGGCGGGGCGGGGGTGTCTGGAAACCCACGCTGAATGGGGCTTCCGGCCGGCATCTTCCCTTGATCCCGGCCAGCCCCCTTGAATGTGGCAGTCAGGTAACACATCTTTGCCAGAGCCGGGCCAGGCAGCTGGAAGCAAGGTGCTCGGGTCAGGTGGGCATGGGGCACAAGAGGAGAGGCTGTCCCTACCAGGCCTAAGCTTTAACTGATCAGGGAGAGGCATCTGGCACTTCTGGGAGTCTTCCTGGTTTCTTAACATGAGCAGGGAGAGATCTGGGAGTCCAAAAGGGCTCACGTCTTTAACCAGGTTTAGTCCCAATATTTGCTTGCCTTTTTCCTTATAATTCAGAGACCTTGAAGAAATGGCGCATGAGATTACCTATGTTGATTAGCTGCATTGTATTGAAAGGTGTGGTGGGGGGGAGTATTGTCCTACTACCTTACTGACCCCCGAGATATTTAGGAGGGAAAAAAGAATCTTGCCTGCTAAACTCAACACTCTGGTTCGTTTCCTCCTCACCCTGGTGCGTGTTCTCAACTCGAGGGCTATTTAACAAACTAAATTTCCCCTTCTTAAAAATAAATACACAGTGATAAATCTTGCCTTAATCTGTTTACTGCAGAAAGTTCAAATCTGGTAGGCAGCAGCTAGGAAAGTCCTTGACTGACCTTGGGAAAGGGGCCCAGCTATCACTCTCTCTCTCTCCATCTCTTTCTCTTTCCATCGTTAAGAACTAGGATCGTGAGGGCACCTGGGTGGCTCAGTCGGTTGAGCGCCCGACTTCGGCTCAGGTCATGATCTCGCAGTTTGTGGGTTCGAGCCCCGCGTCGGGCTGTGTGCTGACAGCTCAGAGCCTGGAGCTTGCTTAGGATTCTGTGTCTCCCTCTCTCTCTGATCCTCCCCTGCTCATGCTGCCTCTCTCTCTCTCTCTCAGAAATAAATAAAACATTAAAAAAAAAGAACTAGGTCATGAAACGACATCTCGATCTAGCCTACATCTGACTTTTATACCTTGAAGAGCGATTAAAGCCAGCTGTCCTGAGTAAACAGGCCTCCCCAGGGCCCCTGCTGACCGCAGACCTGCCCTTCCTCTCACACTGTCACTGCTGCCCGAGACTGGCTCTGGGTCTCCCCAAGGCCTGCAAGAGCATGCCCAGGGTCAGGTGCTCTGAGCCCCCTTGACCGCTTAGGGATCCCTATATCACAGCATTGATCTCTATCCGGTTCTCCTCTGGCAGAATCCTCACTACATTCTGAGTTTCTCGTGGGCTGGGATCACACAGAGAATACTGACACCGTTGGTGAACAGCACAGTGCCCACACACAGTAGGCCCCCAGTAAATGGCAACAGCAAAAAGCGACGGAAGAAGGGGTGCGTTGCAAATGGGAACGTGTTCAGGGGGTCAGTCTGCTGTCAGACACCCCGTGACTCTCTCACCTGCAACCAGAGGGTAGCTGAGGAGGCCAGGGAGCAGTCAGGTCTGCTACTGTCTCTGGGTTACACAAATGGGACAGGGGTCATCCAGCCAGAAAGGGTGTATGTGGTGGAAAGACATGGGAGGCAGAACGGGCCGGGTTAGGCTTTTCTCCTGGGTGTTTCCAGCAGGGCTCTTAGGTAACACCCTCCAAAGAGTCTCCCCAAGTTGTTGGTTTCACGGCCTCAACATGTTAGTTGCATTCTTTCCTGAATTTCTTTTCCCAAGGACTCCTGTTCTCCGCCCTGCTGAAAACTCTTTCCTGACTCTTCTGCATCTCATCCAGTGGAGGGCTCCTGCCTTCCGAGTCCCACCCTAAGACTTGGTTAGAGGTAGAGTCCCCTATGCCTTCCTGCCCAATGCCACCTCCCCAACAACTGATCCCTGAGGCCTCTGGCAGTCCCCTACCTCCTAGTTCCCATCTCCAAAACCTTGTGCACTGCGCCCCCCCTCCCTTCGGGGGTCGCTGCCTTGTACAACATCCCTGAGGTATGGGGTACGCCTCGTTCCATACCCCATTCCCCCATGATCTTTACCTCCATCCTGGTGTCACCCCCGTCCTCCAGGCCCCGTGTCGTGAATCCCATCCAAGAACCCCAGCCCCTGTCGGGTTCTCCTGAGCTCCCAAGGCAGCCAGCGCCAACCTTTAATCAGTTCTGCGGCCTCCAAGAATCTGCTTGCGGGTATTCTGAAGCGGGACTCCTTCTTTAGAGACTTCATGGTGTGGCTGGGGCTGTGAGCGCGGCCCTGCGCCGCGGGGACCCGGGATAACGAGGCTGTGCGGCACCCCCACCCCGCCGCGACCCCGCGCGCGCGCGCGCGAGCGCGCCCGCCTGCCAGCGGCCGCCAATGCGTCCATAGCAACCAGGGGCCCGCGCGGGGGCGCGCACCCACCGATCAACTTGGGCGGAGACTGCTTGGTCGCCACCTTTTTCATCTGGCCACGCCTACGCGCCCGCCGCGGGCCGCTCCTCCCGCGCGCGGACCCCGAGAACGGCGCCTGGCCAGGGGTGTGGCGTCACAGGGGCGCCGGCGAGCGCCGTGACGTCAGCGGCCCGCTGGGGTGGGGGCGGGGGCGGGGCGAGGCCCCCCAGGGACGGGGCGGGTGAGTAGGAGGGGCGCGTCCCGGCTGCCATGGCTCTAGGGCATTCCTTCCGCGCCTCCAGACGGCAGCCGCCCCGTGGTTACTTTCAAGCCCTGCCGAGCCCCCCCTGCGTGGCTTCCTGTGGGTCTCAGTGGCCTGGCGGTCCCTGCCTGTTCCCTACGCGCGCGCCTCTGCCCCCCCCCCCCCACGCTCGCTACAGACCCTCCATCGCTTCCCAAACAATCCAGGCTTTTATCCTGATTTGGGCCCTTCTCCTACTGCTGGTTTCTTTCAAGCCTTGGAAATGCTGCCCTTAACCCCTCAATCTACAGAAGCCTCTGTGTGCTTCCAACTTTATAATTAACTTTATCAATTCTAATTTATAATAAACCCGGTGGTTTGTTTGTTTGTTTTTCTAGAGCCCCAACGCATTCTCAAATTATTCTGTTTGTTGAGGGCGTTACCTGCTGTGAAGTTCGCTGTGAGATGATTGTAAATTCTGTAGGGACATGGAAGGCCTGTCACTTGTCCCCTCACCAAGCCAGGTTTAGCACAGAGTGGTCACTCAGACTGTATGTGGGAGAATGAAAGGGCTTTAGAGCCAGACTGCTGACTTGCTCGCTTTGTGTTCTTGGACCCATCCCTTGCCATCTCTGAGCCACATTTTCTCCCTTATAAGAAAGATGGAGGTCATATTGCCCTCCCACACATTTCAACTCCAAGGATTAACTGAGAGTATGCATTTAAAGTACCCACCACGGTGTCCTCCATAAACCGTAGAATGTTTGTGGTCAGTTCTCAAACTCATGCTGGGGTTGGGCGGGGGAGATGCACTCTATACCCATGTTACAGATGAAAACCCTGAGATCTATAGAAGAGAAGAAGGTAAAGTCATCTGACTAGCAAGAAGTACAATTTTGAACCCGATTCTCCCAAATCCAAGTTCAGGGGTCTTTGTGCCCTGTCTTCTAAGCTAGTTCAGAGCTTTGCCGCAGTCTGCCCTAGACAGCGGGGAGACTAGGGAGGATGCCTGTAAGGCTGGGCAGTCTCCAGGCGCCCTGTGTGTTCCCCGTTGCTGGGCCTCTTCCATGCCCTTCTACGTGGTCTCTTGCGGCTGAGACAGCCTCCGAGGGCAGCCTGTCTTCCGCTCCTGGAGGCCCAAGCTCCTGCCTCCTTAAGGTTCACTCCATTAATATTTACTGAGCACTTATGATACACCAAGCTGAGCACTCTGTATCTAGAAAGTCAACACTGAGATGGGGTTAGGAGCGCAAGATGTTACTTCTGGGCAAGAGCAGGGGTGTGGGAGGGCCTATGAAAGATGGAGGGGGAGGAGGCAGGACTGGGAGAGCCTCAGACTGTGTGGCTGATCTCACAGAGTCATGGACGCCTGGGGCAAAGAACGTTCATGAGAGGCTGTCTGGTAACTGTGCTCC